TTCTGAATTAAATCCTTAAATTTAAAACAGTGTTCGATAGTGTGACCCCCTGATTGATGATATTGACAGTAATATCTATCTGTCCTTTTCAGTGATTCGAATGGTCTCGGTTCGAGAGGTTTGATCTTGCCACTCTCGGAGAGCATTTTGAACATTTGCATATATGGGATCCCAATTGGAGTGTAGAGTCTATTACTCTTCTTGGGTTTTTCGGTGTTGTAGAGGAAAACGCTTTGCCTCATAAGTCGTTCCCATGGGTGTGAATTCTTTCTTAGGTTCATCTTTCGGGAGTGGACCCTCGTCATATTTCTTCTGAAGTTCCTTTATAGCCTTGAGAGTTTCACGTAAAAAATGTGATCCTTCCATCATAGACAATGTGAGCTATTGTATGTCCTCTTTACATGCTGATTCTGGAAGGTTATCCATGGCGTCGAAGAAGATCTCCTCCTCTTCTTCGATGGCATGGATTTCTTTGACAGGTTTAATGAGAGACAAGGGGTCAACCTCGTTTTCCTCATCAGAGATAGCCAAGGCATGAGCGAGAGGTGCATTATCAATACTTGGCTTCTTACTGCCAGCAGGGACAACGGCAGCTTGTTGTTGTCGATTAAGTCTTGGATAGCTTCCTTAAGCTTCCAACAGTTTTCAGTGAGATGGCCCCTACCTTGGTGATACTTGCAGTATGCATTGGGGTTCCAGTTAGCCGACCTCTTTTTTACTGGTGGGTCCCCAAATGGTCCAATAGGAGTTATAAGACCTTTTGCATTTAATCGATCAAATGCGGTGTCATAACTTATGCCAATAGGAGTAAAGTTCCTCCTAAATGGCTTCTTTTGTCCTTGATTATTCATAGCAAGGACTTCACCTAGGTTAAAAGTGCTAACATTGTTTGAGTGGGTGGTTTTGGAAGAAGAAGGCTTGTCGTTCTTTTGTGCTTTCCAGCCACTGTTGGAGTTATTGTTGGCAACTTTTAACTTAGCTAGGTCGTCTTCAATATTGATTCCAATGTCGTAGACAGCCTTGAAGGTATGGAGATTGTTTTGATACTTGAGATGCTTGGAATATTTTTCTTGAAGGTTTTTAATGAATAACCTTACAGACTCTTTTTCACTCGGTACCTCAATCATCTTAGCTGAGGTTTCTCTCCATTTGTTAAAGAAAGAGGTGAAGCCTTCATTCTCTTTCTGCTTGAGGATTTCAAGTTCCATATGGTCAGTCTCAACTTGAATGTTGCATTTGTATCTATCAACGAAAGCGTTTTCTATGGACTCCCAGGTGGAGGTCTTTTCTTTCTCGAGAGAAAAGAACCATTGTTGGCAAACTGTCTCGAGAGATAGTGAGAACAGAGAGGGGATGTCGTTCGCATTGAACTTCTGCGGAAGAAGATCTTTGTCCACCGAGACCCCTTGTGAACTAATCCCTTGAAATTTGTAGTCGCTAGATAGCTTGCTTAGACTCTCTTGCATGAGGTCCATTTGTTGTTGTTTCACGGGATCATCGATCTTAAGTGTTAGGAGCTTCAATGCCTCAGTCACGGTAACCACTTGGTTCCTAAGCTCATTGACTTCTTCTTGTGTTGCCATTATTTTCCTAGTTTTCCTCTTACGAGCTATGGGTTTGTCGAAAAGTTGGACTTGTACGAAAAGGTTGTCTTTGATTAACCGTCCTTCCTTTCTTGACCACACGCTGTAATTTAAACCATTTTGCGTTTTAATTACTTGACTCGAATCGACTTGACTTTACGGTTTTAAAGAGGGAAAATGGAAAAAAAAAAAAATAGGTGCATATTTTTTTTTGGAAAAATAATGTATATATTTTTAGGGAACTAAGTATGGTTTTTAAAATGGAGGATTAATATCCGACTTCCCCCCTAAAAAAATGACGGAAAAAACGCGCATCCAAGACTCTTTTAAACATAGTCAAAGTGTGTGTATTGGTGTGTGCGTTGAGTGTAAGTGACATGTTTGGACTCTTGTGTAAGACCATTGGACGTAGTGCCTAGACTCAATTAATGACTTAACAAAGTAAAATTTAACCGAATTAATTAGCAAACTGGTTAATTAGACACTAGGTGATGACTCGATCAATAATCCGAAATGTCGTCAAAACGACAGGACTGGCGCCACTCTTTGTAGTGTAGCACCAGACGACAAAGCTGTCGCCAGGCGCCACACTCCACAGAGTGGCTCTACAGTTCAGACTTTGGAGCCAATGCTGGAGCTTCGATCTGAGACTGTTTTTGGTGTTATTAATCAACAGGGGTATGCCTAAAGTCGTACTAGGTCAATTCTGGTCAAAATATTAGACTTTATTTACTCAAATTAATTAATTAATTAATTAGGCAAAGTTCTTTTAGTCATTAATTTATTTAGTCTTGACACAAGTCAAACAAACGGTTAAGGAAAACATATATCATATGCACGACAAATAATGCACAATTAGTCAAGTAGGCACAATATGATGCAATGAGTTTGCAACCTAACCATGGCTCTAGTTCACTAAAGTTCGGGATATGGGTTAGTCAATAGAGGGTTCATGGTTAATTGTCCAGATGCACCGCGCGGAAGCCTAACCGTGAAGGGTTGGCGCGAGTGGATGGGACACCGCGAGTTTTAGAAAAAACTCGCTTCCATGGTTTGGTGAATTCAACGATCTCGGATGTACCCTTTGTTGCTCAGAGCGTTCAATCAGGTAGATGGAGCATGAAATCCCAAAGGGTTATGTCCATATGTAGAACACATATGAGTTTCATAAAAGTGAGAAAAACTTAATCAGGAAGTAGGATCGAGCAAACAACGCGAAAAACTGGTCAAAATTAGAACGCATATTTCTGGCTCTGTATTGGAAGAATTTGGCGCCAACAAACAGAGATTGGCGTCGGATTTTAGCTGTAGCGCCTGGCAACAAAACTGTCGTCTGGCGCTACAGTTAAAAGTCTGGCGCTAATATTTTGTTCGCTGACGCTAATTCCTACATGCCTCGGCAGCTTTCTGTGCTCGATGAAATTTTCCAGTTTCGCGTAGTGTTATTTCGGTCCTAGTTGTGAAAGATATTTCTCAAATTTCCTACGTGTAAAATCCTATGTTTTAACTCATTACGGATGGACTTTCCAATGAGATCTTTTTTTATGCATATGACAATAATGTTAATCAAAATTACGCACATGAAATACTTAGAATGTTTCGAGTCACATCCACTCATTCTAAATCATTGCCAAAAATAAATTTTAGGAATTAAAATAGAAATCCTCCGCAGTGGAGTCGCCAAAAACTATAGGGAATATTTCAAGCGTTAATCCCCTAGTTTGAACCCCACTGTGATCATACACTAAAGTACAGTGGCGTCCAAAGGGAAAGAAGATAGAGCAAAAAGAGTCGCCAACAAGTTTTTTTTTAGGAACTTGTAAACCGTTCACGAGGTGAAGGTTACACCCTTTAACGATCCAAGAGATCGTCAACTCCATAAGGTCTTGAACCAAATAGGGTTCGGGGATGAAGGTACAAATCCAACCTAAAAGAGATTAAACCTGCCCTAATAATAGGCCTCTACTTTCTTCTGATCGTGTTCATGTGCGCTTTCTGACTAACATGCAGTCAATAGGTTTACCCTAAACCTGTTTATCTATGTTGGTTGAATTTAATGCACAAATAAATCTATTATTGGCGATCACTTGAATTATAATCATATTAACTCTAATTATTGTATATAAGCGTGACTACAAGTATAAAATCCCCTTTAAACATGCATAAAAGGTGTGATCAAGCAATAACAATAAAAATCAAGCAACATAATCATAATCATGTTAAAGCATAATAATAGCGAGATCCTATGCATGATACTAACAAGATTAATAACAAACCCTAGCATGTCACTAAACAATAAAGATTAAATATTTAGCCCTAACATGATACTAACAACCATAAATATTATGAAGAACATAATAAGCATCATACTTTTAATAATACTTGATATTAAAGTTACCCTAGACATGATACTAGGAATCATAATAACAACTTAAGCATGATTTCTACATCATAATAACAACTTAAGCATTAAAGTACTTACTTGGATGCCTCGTACCTCTTTCTAATAACAAAATACACACGTTAGTAACTTCAAGGAAAATAATAAACAAAACAATTAAATTAAATAATTGAAAGAGATTTGAGACCAAACCTCAGAAAGATTAAAACCTTTCACGTCTAGGGCGAAAGCAACTTCATTCAAACTTGGCTAGGTGTATCTAAATCTTGCGAATGCGGAATTTTTATATTTCAGAGAAGGCTAGTTTAGAAAAGAGAGAGGGAGAGAGATATCAAGAAAACCTTGATGAGAGTTGGTGAGAATTCGTAATGAAAACGGATTTTTTAGCACGTTATTTATAGAGAAAATCAGCCAAAAAGATAAAACATCAAAAACAGAGTTCTGACGCAAAAAACCAGATTAGCGCCAAACGCTGATCTTAACGCTAGGCGCTAAGGCTAGCGCCAGGCGCGAAGCGTACCGTCAGGCGCTACTGGTGTTTGGCGCTGACTAAGAATCGACGCGTTTTCTTAAAATCAGATAGAAATTGCCGTACAGGAGGATAAAATCGTATTTTCCTCAAAAACGTTCTTTGATTCTGATTTAAACTCTAAAAAAAGTCAACAAAAGTCAATTTATCAATGCTAATTAAATTAGGAATGAAAAGATTATTCTTGAAGAATCTAGAAGACTAAAACCATTCCTAATTGCATTAGGAATGATAAATCCATATTAGGCCCTCCTCTAGATCATTGGGCCACATATAAGGCTCAAACCACGCCCAGGCTAGTAACTTGGCCATAACTTCCTCAATATTCATCGGAATTGGGCTTATAATATATCGTTGGAAAGCTCTTTTCAAGCCCTATCCAACTACACTACTATTGGACCCATATCATAGACCAACCAAACTGGATTGTCTGTTTTCTTAAAATAGGTTTTCAAAAACAGAGAGAAGAGAAAAGAAAATAAAATTATCCGCAACACTAAACTTTTCACACTTTCACTTCATTCGATTATGATTCGACGTGAAAGGTACTCATCACTGGATTTGGTTTTGGGGAGACACAAATGGGTGTCTACAACAGCGCTAAATTGTTTGATTCCCCTACATAATTATGACAAGATAAAATTATAATAATAATAACAAAAATACCAATTACTTGAACATCAATACAAATATAATTAAGTCAATGAATGATTACTCTACTGCTTACTCATTGATGACTGTTTTAGCAAACTCAAGTATGCTTTCTGCTCCACCTGGGTCCAACCAATAGACTATCCCATTTCAAGGGCTAATCACAGCTAACATCCAATTCCGACTACATAAAAATAACACGAAAAGTTAATAAAATAACATATCAATAATTATCAGCTATTGTAGAGAAAACACATATTGCACGTACTTTTCATTATAAGGTGCAAAGAATAATTGATTACGATTCTTTCCCTCACTGCACCCAAACACACGAGCTAAGTATGTAGACGGGTTTTCCTCTTCTATTGTTGGATTCATTGGGGATAGAACAACGGAATCTCAAAATCCATACATACCCGAAATTCCTTCTTCTTGACATCGTTATTTTCAAGTACCTTTCCCCGCCATCCATAAAAGGTCAAACATGTAAGAAGATACTGAAAATAGAAATTCTCAAATCTTAAAAATGTAAATGAACTTACTTCATGAAAATATTCAAGTGAGCAGCTCCGAACTCTTTCTAGAAACACCAACTAAGCAAATCTTCGTAGTCAAGAGTAACATTAACCACATGTTCAGTCAGAAATACAGTTTTTTGGAAACTTAAGGAGATGGATTCACTCCTCTTTCATTCCCAAAGCATGAGTTTTTAACGACTGTAACCAATTAGTAGTCACTTTTTCACAATCTTTAGCACCGAAAAGATGCAGGTCAGTGGTTGATGTTTGGGATGATGCCGATCATGGGGATGGAGTAGTCACGTCTTTTTCCAGGTGCACATCAGCCTTTCATACAAACAATTAATATATATCAAGTAAATGCAACTCTTAACTTAAAATCAATTCTGAACTCAATTCAGTTGGTAAAAAAACTGATATAACAATAAGAATCAAGTGAATTGGCCAAGCAGTGTAACTCTTCTAAGCTTGGCAAACAAATATTAATTCTTCGTTTGGACATGGCAAGGGAGCATTCGGCACAATACCTTCTACAATAGAGACTCGACGGTGACCAGGGGGTAGCGATTGGACATGATTTCTGATGACTTCTTCTGCCTTCTCTTGATAGCCTTTCCCTTTAGCAACAATTACATGTCCTTTATCGTCGTCCTCAATGGCGAGTTGACAATCACTCCAGCCCTATACCAGTCATGACAGAATCAAATTTCATATACATAATTTATATTCGAAGATGTATGACTTTTAATACAATACCTCAGGAAAAGTGATATTGCTCTGTTTGAGGCCAAGATCAGTTGAGATATCATCATGATTATTCTAAAGTGCATGGTCAGGTTGATTAATTTGCTCTGTTTGAGGCCAAGAAACATGGTACATTTTAGCCTCAGAGCTTTAAAGATGATCCTGTTTCACGGGAGGACTTATTTGAGCCTCATGACCACGTGAAACATTAGCAACATCCTGAAATTGAGACTCCAACAATTGATGACCTTCACTTTGTTGTCGCTCAACCCTTCTAGTTAGCAGTTGTGTAAGTGGAATGTTAAGCATTCCATGGTCAACAAAATTATTTAATTTGGTAAAACCTAACCTATTACCATCAAGACCACCAAAAGCACCGAATTCAACTTAACCATCAAAACCAAAACCACTCTGACCACCAAAACTAGTCTGACCAGAAGAACCAACCTGTTGACCATGACCTGACTGACCACCAGAACTAGACTGACCACCAGTAGCAGGCTGACTACCACCATTGCCAAATTGGCCAACCAGCCCACCAAATATAGACTGACCACCAGAAGCAGGCTGACGACCACCATTGCCAAATTGACCAACCAGCCCACCCAAACTGCCAAATTGACCAAAAGCATTTGATTGACCAAAGATGGCCATGAATGATTTCAATTGCTCCTGATTTAAGCATGACATGATGAAAGACAATAATAAATTCTGATTATTTTTCATAGTTCCCATCTCTGATTGCATCATGTCGATTTTTGCATACAATTGGCTTGGTGCAGTTGGTTTGTTAAAGCCAAAATATTCCTTAATTGTGATACCTGATCCAAATGCCCTCACTGAACCACCATGCTCACGCTTATTCAATGCTCTTGCTAATATGTCATCCCGACCATTGCACACGAATTCTCCTCTTTGAGCTTGAGCCTCCACTGCAATCTGCAATATAATATTTCAAGGGACGTTATAGATGAAACCAAGTGAAATAAATTCAAATCAAGGCAATCATTCACAAGAATTTAATGAAATAAAATTTGTGCAGAAGAGTCTTCATTAGATTTCTTACTATAGCTTCATGGATTTCCCTATCGACTGGATTATAAAAAAAAATGATTCCATCTTTGACCTGAGAGTCAGCTTTGATCCAAGTCAAGTGTCGAGGCACTTGTGACACATGGACTCCCTGTTTTTCAAGTTCTTTTTCCTGCCATTGTACAAAATAAATTTAGACTTATGTTTGAAGTATATGAATAGAAATTTTCAACACCAATATTGTATGTATGGTAGTCACATATAGAATATTTGTCAAACTTACTATTTGTTCTTCAAAATATTGATACCCAAGTCGGCCTCCTCGATACTTTAAGGTCTTCTTCTTTGCCCTCACACGATTTTTTTCACTCAATTCCTACAAAAAAAATTTAAGATTAAATTCAGTACACACTATCTTGCTAGAGGAAGCTTATCATAAACTTATAAAGCATTAAAACTAATAAACTTATAAAGCATCAAAACTAATAAACTTATCAAGCATCAAAATAGAACTGAACTCAGAACGGAGCATCAGAACGGAGCATCAGAACTGAACTCAGAATAGAGCTTCAGAACTAAACTCCAAAACTAAGGTTCAGAACTGAATTCAGAACTAAGCCTCAGAACTGAATTCAGAACTGAGCTTCAAAACTGCCCTCAGAATTGAACTCCATAACTAAATTCAGAACTGAGGTTCAGAACTGAATTCAGAACTAAGCCTCAGCACTAAATTCAGAACTGAGCTTCAGAATTGAACTCAGAACTGAACTCTAAAACTGAATTCAGAACTGAGGTTCATAACTGAATTCAAAACTAAGCCTCGACACTGAATTCATAACTGAGCTTCATAACTAAATTTAGAACTGAGGTTCATAACTGAATTCAGAACTAAGCCTCAGCACAGAATTCAGAACTGAGCTTCATAACTGAATTCAGAACTGTACTCGGAACTGAATTCCAGAACTGAATTTAGAACTGAACTCCAGAACTGATTTCAGAACTGAATCGCTAAATTCAGGACTGACTTTAGGAAATGGCAGGGAAAAGGGGTGTTTGCAAGGCAGGGGATTGAGTCCAACTTATTCAAATTATTTTATAAATATAACAGCTACCTGAAACTCTTTTGAAGTACAATATTTGGCGAACATCTCCCAATCTGTATCTTTTATGAAAGGATATTTCCATGGGGGTTGTTGTCTGACAACTCCATCTTCTGGATACATCCATTCAAGTCTTAGCCTAGTCTTGAAAGCTTCCATCGCTTAGAAGCTTGTGTCAGTATCCAATTTCAGCGATTCTCGATGACATAAAATCCCTTCTGCATTGCTGGTACTGAAACATTAAACCTTCCTACATAAAAGCATATTGTATGACTTATTCAAATGTCTTAGAACTGAATATGTTTGCTTACTGTGATAGCATTGTAGACTTCATCTAAGACTCCATTTGGAAGGTCAGACCACTCCTTATAAGTAATCGTTACTCTTTCACGGGCAACAACACCAATGTAGGTGGAGAAATGAGACTTGTGCTCTCCTACTGGAATTCTTTTAATAGGATGCCATTCCAAACGAATCTTGGTGCCTTCTTGGATCGCCTTCCCCACCATAGCAAGTACAGTACGACCCCTCTCATCCTCATGCCTTATTTTCGCAGAATCCTCAGGATGTAGTGTGTCACCTTCATTGGATAGGCGTACACGTTTTCTCTTTCTAGCCATCAACCTATAAAAAAATCAGAAAAATAAATTTAATAGGTTAGTTAAATGCAAAAAATCATTGTAATAATAAAACCAAAATTTTAAGTAGGACATCCTAAGGAAAAATCAAAAAAAAAAAGTTAGTACTTTAAAAAAAAAATTACATTTGTTATAAGATAGCTTTCGCTTGACATTTTTTTGCTTCTTTGTATCTTCAACCCATGTAACCTCTTTATGATCATCTCTCACATATATTGAAGAGTCATCAACATTATCGTCCACTACTTTTCTTGTCAAAGAAGGAGTCCCAACACACTATAAAAAGTACAATCATCAATGGAGTGTCGAGGCCTTGGTGTTATGACAACTGATCTTCGCTTATCAAAGGGGTCAGTCATATAAAAAATTTGTTTTGCTTGGGTAGCTAAAATAAAAGGATCCTATTTTGTGACCAACCTTGTTAAGATTGACCAAAATAAGTCCCAAGTTACTTTCTTCAACACCGTTGTTATTGTCAACCCATTGGCATTTGAAAACAGGAATCGAAAACATGGTGTAATGCAACTCACAAATCTCTTCAATGACTCCATAGTATCTCATAGTACCACACACGGGATTCTTATCTTTTGCACTAGCAAAGTGAATAGCTTGAGCCTCTAAAGTGACCCCACTGTTTTGCATAGTGCTGTGTTCAACTAGGAACTTTGTGTAAAAAGTGCAACCATTTATAACACATCCTGACTAGTATGTTGCACTAAAGTCAGGTCCATATGCTAAACTCTTTACTCGATCTGAGATTACTATTGAAGAGTCATCGAGCTCCCTCATTACTTCATCTTTGAACCAAGAAATGAATGATTTGCGACGTTTGTCAGCTAATGCCTTTTCGGTTGCTCTTGGATTGTACTTTCTCAAGTGTCTCATATGTCTTTCAACATAGGGTGCAACTTCATCCTCATTATGCAGAATGTATGAGTGTGCCTTGTGCCAATTGTCATAAGACATATCACGTTGCTTACTACCTAAGGTTCCCACACCATCCATTCGTCCGCTATAACGAGATGTGGGAATCCCCATTCTCATTGAATTTATCAGAAAATCACCAGCATATTGTAGTACTTCTTCATAGAAAAGTTGCTCGGCAATACAACCTTCAGGTCGATAAGCATTCTTCACATACCCTTGGTATGTTCTCATTTGCCTTTCAAAAGCCCATTGAACTCTCAAATATATTGGACCTCAAAATCTTATCTCTCTTACCAAGTGAACCGTCAAATGAACCATGATATCAAAAAAAGATGGAGGAAAGTACATCTCTACTTGACACAAAATTATAACAATTTCTTCCTCCAAAGCATTCAAATGTTCAGGATCAATGACTTTACTATAGATTGCATTAAAAAACAAACAAAGTCTAGTAATGGCATATCGAACATTTTTAGACAATATTGAACGAATAGCTATGGGCAACAAATTTTGCATCCAAACATGACAATCATGAGACTTAAGGCCCATAGGTTTCAAACTTTCCATGTTTACCAGGTTGCGAATGTTTGAAGAATAACCTTCTGGCACTTTCACTCCGCCAAGCTCTGACATAACTCGATTTTTTCTTTTCAAGAAAGCGTATAAGCAGCCGGTGGCAAGTACTTTCGACCATTCTCATTCTCAACCACATGGAGTTCATCTTTAATCCTCATTTCCTTTAAGTCATCTCTACCTTTCTCCCCATCTTTGGTCTTTCCACTAATATTTAATAGTCTACCAATAACACTATCACACACATTTTTCTCAATATCCATCACATCAAGCGTATGTCTCACAAAAAGAAATTTCTAATATGGTAAGCTCCACAATATTGACCACTTTTTGAATCCTTGTTAAGGAAGAAGTTTTTTATGCTTCTTACCACATGTGATCTTGAGATCTTTGATCTTTTCAAACACCGCTACTCCAGATAGTATCTTAGGGCGCACCCTAAACTTGATGTCCATTGAAGGCCTTTTTCAAGTTGTGATAGTGACGAGTACATGGCAAAAATATACGATTCCCATCAAAAATATTCTTCTTAGATGCACTCAACCACCTTCCTGGAAAACCCTCCATGCATACGGGACAAGCAGTTTTCCGTTAAACCATAGATTACCATATGCTGGAAAATCTTGAATAGTACAGAACAACAATGCTTTCAAATTGAAATTCTCGTTATGATGTGCATCGAACACCTCTACACCTGTTTCCCACAACATCTTCAAATCATCAATTAGTGGAGCCAGATACACATCAATATCATTACCCGGCTACCTTGGACCAAAAATTAGTAGTGATAACATCATATACCTTCTTTTCATGCAAAGTGTAGGAGGTAAGTTGTAGATAATCAAAACAACATGCCATGTACTATAAGTGCTACTCAATGATCCAAATGGATTGAAGCCACACCAAGGCGTAAATTACGCTTTTCTTTGGCAAATTATGAAAATTCTCCATCAATAAACCTCCATTGTGGGGAATCAGCAGGATGGCTAAGCATTCCATCATCCTCTCGACCATAGACATGTCATGTTAACTTTTCAGCATCTCCGGCATTAGAAAATAGCCTTTTAAACCTAGGTATTATTGGAAAATACCATAATACCTTCGCAGGCACTCGTCCTTCATTCTTTTTGTATCGCGAGGCATTACAAATTGCGCATCTCTTTAACGATTCATTCTCGTTTCGATACAACATGCAATCGTTAGGGCAAGCATGAATTCTCTCATATGGTAAACCCATGACACTTAGTGTCTTTTTTGCCTTATATGTACAACTTGGAAGGACATTATCATCTGGAAGCATGTCTTTTACCAATTATAGAATCATATTAAAGCTTTGATCATTTAAACCATGACCCGCCTTCAAGTTATACAACTTAAGTATGACAGACAACCTTGTGTATTTAGTGAAACTTTCATACAAAGGTTTTTCAGAGTCACTTAATAAGCTCTCAAATTTAGTGGGATCTTCATCAAAATTCTCTTGTACTACATGGAGCATTTCCTCTAATCTATCTCCCTCATTTGTATGTTGACCTTCATTAGCATTATCTGAAAAGTTACTCACCGAAGCTCCATCCCGACATTCTCTATGCCAAATCCAACACATATATGTTTTATCAAATTCCCATTTCTCCAAGTGATTAAGTATCTCTTCGGGTCTCTTATACAAGAAATTATGGCACATGTGAAAAGGGCATGGTAGCTTATGGCGGCCTCCACTATTCTTAACTGCAACTTAACAAAATCTATTACACCTACTTGATATTTTGGGTCACTTGCTTAGTTGTTGTTATCCAACTTCGATCCATTTAATATTTTCTACACAACAACAACTAAAATTATTAATCCCATTCTAATGATTTTATTCAATTTTTATATACTTATGCCCCTCTCCCTACACTTTTCTCCTCATCTTCTAATAATTAAATTGATAAAAAAACATAACTCAGGAACCAATTAGCAAAAAAAACTCACGATTTTGTGTAGATGCATGATTCCATAGTGCATTTTTAATAAAAAAACAAAAAAAAAAAACACAATTTGAAATCCCAACCAACATTAAAGATGTCATACAATATAAAATAATGAAGAATTTTAAGGGAAATTCAAACAACAAATCATCTCTCTCTTCATCACAATAAAACCTAAAAACAAAAACCCAGAACATTAAACATCATAAAGCACATAAACTAAAACCATCATAAAGCACAGCAACTAAAACCATGAACCAACACTTGATATGAAATTTCAAGCAGCAGAAATATGAATACACTTACAAATTTTAATAAGCAACCCAATATTAACTAAAATAATAGAAAATTTCGATTGCCAACATTAGCTGACTTACTGGTTAATGTTAAATGTCGAACAAGAACAATTTTTTATTAACTAAACTAATTTTAATACACTTACTGCCTCATTTCTATAATAGCAGATTCACCAACAAATATTGAACAAGAACAATTTTTATTTTAATATTTCATTTCCGCAAACAAACCAATAAGCCTAAAGAAAATTAAATAAGAAAAGTCAGAAACAAACAAAAATTATCAATACATAAAACCCTAACAAAGCATACATGCATCAATTGAGCCAAAATTCTAACCTTTAAGTTTGCGGTGGAGCCGTGGAGGAGCCGTGTAGGAGTTGTGGAGGAGCCATGGAGGAGCTGCTCTTTCGTTCCTTTTTTTTTGTAATTTCGAAGAAAACCCAAAGATGGGCACGCTGCTACTCAACTAGCAATATCAGTGGCCGCAGTAACCCAGAAATCCAATGTTCATTTGGGATTTTGATGAAAAATAGAAGAGATGAATGTCGTTCGGCAATCTGTAGAAAATTAGTGGTGAAATTGAAAATTTGAAGAGGGTTTTTTGATGAATTTGAAGGGTTTATTTTGGGAGGGAATGGAAAATAAGAGGCGACAATAATAATGGAAGTATGGAAATCTGTAGAAAAGGAATAGTAGCATTATTTTTACCTTATATGTATGAGACCCGTTGTACATAACAACAGGTCTCTTACCTAAGAGATCCGTTGTAAATAACAATGGGTCTTTAATATGACATTGTTATTTAAAATCGCAAAACATATATTTTGGCGCCTACTATTACAGAGGACGTTTTTCCAAAGTGAGCCAATTTTGGCAAATATTAACCAAAATGGTTGCGTGGCAAAAGTATTTACCAAACTAAGCTTCCAAGGTAAAACGCTGTCTCGGTCAGCGTTTTATGCCTGGGTTTTTTTAAAAAAAAATCAACCTATAAACGCTGTCTGGGACAGCGTCTTTGTTGTTGACCTTTTTTTAAAAAAAATTTGTAATTGCCTTTTATTTATAAAAATGTTTTAAAAAAAAAAACAGTTATACCAAAGATGTTGTCCCAGACAGCGTTTAACTCTGGAACTATAAACGCTGTCTCAGACAGCGTTTAAGGTTATTAATGAAACGCTGTCTGAGACAGCGTTTCTGTCGTTTTTTTTTTTCCCTCCAACAGCGTATTTCATTTCATTTCCTCCTCCTTCATTCTCAAACCCCTTCTTTCCCAAACTCTAACTTAATCCCCCTCTCTCTCATACTTGTGCTCCTCCGTGTAGACCGCCGCCGGCGCCACCACCTCCACCGTCGCCCGCCGTCACCTCCACCGTTGCCCGCCGTCACCTCCACCGTCGCCCTCCGTGTAGCCCACTATACACTCCCCTCACCCTGAAATAGGTATTCATTCAACTTTCTTTGTGTTTTAAATTCTAGGGTTTATGTTGGTGATTTCTAATTTTTTTGGAATTGGGTTAAAATGTTGATGAGGTTGAGTTGTTAGTGTTAAAAATGTTGAATTGTTAGTGTTGGTATTGTTGAATTATTAGTGTTGGTAATTGTTGAATTGTTAGTGTTGATAATGGTAGTGTTGATATTGTTAGTGTTGATAATAGTTTGGATAATGTTGAATTGTTGTTGTTGGTTTTGTTGAAAATTGTTGACAATGGTTGATAATTATTAGGTTTTGAACAATTGTAATTACCTACATTGTTGTGTAATAATGGTGATTTAGGGGTTCTTAGTAGTTAATTTGTAGAGTATGTAAAAAAAATTTGTTTGATTGTGGTGATTTAGGGATGATTTAACGGCTTTACGTAAAATGTGTTTTGGTTGTTATGTAGAATATGGCTGGACAAAATGTAGCGTTGTTATGTCGATGGGGAGGTGAAATTTTGTGTAATGGATCAAATGTGGAGTACAGTGGAGGGAATATGGACCTTATAACACTTGAACCGAACATGACTGTGACTGATCTGATGAATGAGGTTCACAGTTGTATTGGTTCAAACCCTATGACTGTTGAACTGAACCTTAAAATGAGGTGTGATACTGGTCATGGGGAGCAAGTGTTACCTGTCTCTACGAACAGACATTTGAAAGGTTTGAGTAGCATGGTAGGAATGAAGGGTTTTCCCAATGAGATATATGTAGAAACAGTGCCTATATGTACCCAACAAAGTAATCGGGCAGAACAGCAAGCTACATATGTCTCTGATTACAACACCGCGTCCTTCCTAGAGCTCGCAAACCACAATCCATCGAATGCATATGGGATGGGTTCTTTCACTCGAATGATGCAGGACGACCAATTTCACTTGCCTTTTAGTTCTCATATAGCTTCACCAGTACATGCGGGGGGACGCGTGACAGTGTTCGGCCAGCCTGCTCCGTCGTCATCGAACACCATGGCATCTTCGCCGATGCAATTGCATAGCTACTCTCCTATGCAAGGTGATGATGGTTCACCGTTTCGAGAAGAGCCAAATCATTTTGATGATGTTGTGAATAATGAATTGTCGGTGTATGATGTGTATGCGGAAATGGATGATGAGGACGAGAACAGAGAGGGGGATGATGAACCTACACAGGTGGAAGATGGTCAGCCGTTGGTTAGAACTCCCATACCTTGGTTCAGTGAGGTACCCGAGAACTATGAAGTTGATTAGTATTGGGACGAATCGGGTAGCCACACCTCTTTTGTTCCCGGGGGAGAATTTGAGAAGGGAATGTATTTTGAGAGCAAGAAACTGCTTCAAGAAATGGTGAAGATGTATTCTATTCAGAGGAATCAATTCTACACCACAGTGACCTCGAATGATGGTGTCCTACATCTGCGATGCAAGAAGAAATGTGGTTGGATGCTACGGGGTACCAAATCGAGTGAGCACTCACGTGGTTTTACCATAGTCACGTACAAAGGCCCGCATCGGGAGACATGTATCACTGAAGTACTATCTAATGATCACCCACACTTGGATTCGTCCGTAATAGCCGAGTATGTGAAGTCCTTTGTGCGGAAAGATCCTTCGTTGAAAGTGGAATTCATACAGGAACTGATCTCGAAGCAATTTCATTTCGATGTCCCGTATCGACGAGCGTGGTATGCCAAGGAGAAAGCTATAGCTGAGATATTTGGGGATTGGGAGAGTTCATATGGCAAACTTCCCCACTTCATGCAAGCACTCCTACGGTCGAACCCGGGAACATGTGTCGTATGGAAACACAAAGCTTTAGTGGATGGTGTATACTACAGCAACATGGAAGTGTTTGAACGAGTGTTTTGGGCCTTTGGTCCTTGTATCGATGGCTTTAAATATTGTATGCCTGTTATCTATATCGATGGGACGCACTTGTATGGGAAGTATAAAGGAACACTGTTGGTTGCTACGAGTGTTGATGCAAGCTTCCAAGTATTTCCTATTGCATTTGCGGTGGTTGAAGGGGAAAACACTTCCAGCTGGTCTTGGTTCCTAGGTTGTATTCGAGATCGTGTCACGCAACGGGATGGCCTTTGTGTTATTTCTGATCGGCATCCTGGGATCATTGCAGCAATGAATGATCCTAATGTCGGATTCACCCAGCCCCGAGCGTATCACAGGTTTTGTGTCCGCCACATAGCCTCTAACTTAAAGACTCACGTGCGAAGTAACGACATGAGAGACATGTTCAAGGCCGCTGCGTACCAAAGGCAAGAAAGAAAACTTCAAGCTGATCTGTGTTTCATTGGTGAGGCCTGTCCCAAGGCCATTGAGTACATTGCTCAAGTCCCGTTCCCTATGTGGTCTCTGTTTCACGATAGTGGTCGCAGGTATGGTATATGTACTACTAACTTCTCGGAGACATTCAACAATGTGCTGAAAGGAGCTCGGTTTCTACCGATTATGTCCCTTGTCGAGTTAACCTTCCACAGAGTTAACAAGTATTTCACTTTGAGAAGGGAGTCTTCTGAGGCTAGGTCTGATCAGGGACTTCCATACCCCCCAAAGGTCATTGCCATCCTCGAGAAGAACACCGCTAAAGCCAGATATCATAGAGTGGATGATTACCAAGTGACAACAGAGAGGGGAGAGAGAGTTGGTAATAAAGGAGGCCACAAGCATACGGTGAACTGGCAGTTGAGAACGTGTACGTGCAACAAACCGAAGATATTCCACCTCCCATGTTCTCATGTGCTTGGAGTCTGTGCTACATACTCACTATCAGAACGACCTTGAGTGGACCCTCTGTTGCAGTCGGCCGCCTACATGAACACCTATGCACCACAGTTCTGGCCGATCCCCTGCGAGACAACCTGGGCACAGTGGGCACAATATGTAGGCCCTAAACTCATTCCGGATGACACAATGATACGTGGAAAAGGTCGTCCAAAGTCAAAGCGCATACGCAATGAGATGGATGACAGCAACCGGCCCCCAACCAAATGCAGTCGTTGTCACCAGCAAGGTCACAACCGCACTACTTGTCCATCTAGACCAACATAGGACCTAAGTGTATATGTGTTATTTGATATAGTAGTATTTAGTGGTGTTATTTTGATGAAACAGTTATAATTTTCTACATTATGTGTTATTGTGTTCAATTCGATGAATTTTATTTTGTACGTTGGATGTTCGAGATTTCCTTTTTATGCCTTTCAATCGAAATTAGTATTCAATATATTGTGTTAGTGTTTGGTGTGTAACGTTTTCAATGAACAGATATCATGGACGTACGGGATAGGACACCCGGACCTGTTGACCCTTCTGTCCTGACACTACAGGACACCCATCGGAGCGTCGACGTATGGAACCTGACGGTAATGATTCATCTTTAACGTTTTTGGATTCTTTGATGTACTATCTTTTGTTACTTATAAATGCTCCTGTGTTTTCAGGGTGACGTAGCGAAGCCACTACAGTGCAGGCACTACAGGACCCCCTGGGTTGTCCATGATCGCTGCCTTGAGTACGTGACGTACGCTGGCTTTGGCGGTGTACATCGCTTTGGATTCAGGGAGATCGACCGACACCTTGTCACGACGTTAGTGGAGAGATGAAGGCAGGAGACGCACTCCTTCCACCTACCAGTTGGGGAGGCGACTGTGACATTGCGGGACGTGGCAATACTAACGCGCCTTCCAATACAGGGGACTGCGGTGACGAGATCATTTCTAGTCGATCTCGTTGGATTGGTTGTGCGGGTTCTCGGGGTGCAGCCGGGTCCCAACGATGTTAGGGGCTCCGCCTTGAGGACGGTCTGGTTACGAGATACTTTCCAGGGCTTGCCTGCAGACGCCGATGACGCCACAGTACAGAGATACGCTCGAGCGTACTTGTTCTTCCTCATATCCGGCGTGTTGTTCGGCAACAAGAGCGGGAGCCACTTGCAGCTTATTTACCTACAGCTGTTAGACCACGACTGGGAGCATATCCGTGGATACAGCTGGGGTAGTGCCTCTTTGGCGGTGTTGTATCGCCAACTTTGCAGAGCCTCACGGAGTGGTGCGCTCAAGATTGGAGGACCTCTGTTTGTGCTTCAGGTATACTACGTATATTATCACAAGCGAATTATGCAATGAGTAATGTCATATTTAACATAGTTTTGTGTTTTGCTATTGAAGCTATGGGCTTGGGAGCACATCCACGTAGGAAGACCAGGTAGGCCTGCTGTACATCGTCCGGGGCAGCAGGACCAGGATGACCAATATGAGCCGTACATCGCTCCGCCTCGCCCTGCAGCTGATGAGGCTTACGGTTGCAGGTTTGTAACAATTGTCATTTTTTTCCCATATACGATTTCATTTTGTAAACATACTTACCAAATTTGTTGCCCCAGGTGGATGGTCCCCAAACTCACACAGGCACATGCGGCGACGGGTCTCCCACACTACCGAGACACCCTTGATCGACTCACTGAGGATCAGGTACAAACTCTGAAGACATTTGTAATCATTTAGGTACTGTGTATACTGATTGTGGACTAACTTATTTAGGATGTGTTATTGCAGATCACATGGGATCCGTATGTACCGGAGTTGGTAGATGTCATGCCTGCACATCTACTGGAGCATCGGGGAGAGTGGCGTACCCGGGTCCCCCTGATCTGTTTCGAGGTTATGGAGAGTCACCTACCTGACCGCGTCATGCGACAGTTCGGACTGCAGCAGCCTATTCCCCAGAACTGTGACACTGTCGTGCGCCTTCACGACATTGACCGTCGGGGAAAGACGGAGACAAACTGGGCACTGGAGCATTGGCAGTATCTTCAGCTATGGGAGCAGCGGTTGGGTCATGTCGTTCAGGGTTATTCCATGCAGGGCGTTATGGATCATGACGATCCGTACATGGTGTGGTACAGGCTTATCACAGGCCGTTTCATCAACCCCAGCTACACACCACCGTCCACCCATTACCACCCGTCACATGACGTCATTAGCGGATATGTGAGTTTCTTTTACTATACTTATCATCCTCATTTTTTAACTTTTTTAAATATCATGTACTTGATTGATCGATGATTACTACAAGCGGCGGATATGGTGGCGATGTATGATGCACTGTCCCTCGCCCTTACAGACGGACCCACCAGAGCCCAGGTCCAGCGGATGCGAGATATGTCCGCGACTTCCTTACGCAGACATGGTCACGGTCATCTCATCCAACAGCGGGACGGTGATGATGGTCACTCCATCCATTCGCGGTTCGACCCCGGCCAGAGTAGCAGTGGAGGTGATCCTACGTCGCACACAGAGGCAGAGGAGTACATCTTCCACAGTTCTGCACCCTTCAGAACCCAGGAGGACGCATCGTCCAGCCAGCTCACTCCCCCCCCCCCCCGCGCCAGAACCCATTCACCACCATTCACCATTACACTCGGCGTCGTCCAAGACGAAGGGACGACAGTGAGGCTTGGGAAGGGTTACACCAAATTGATGAGTAGTGAACGTATTGTATCATTGTTTTGTCCTTTTTCCTGGAATGCTGTATATAACGATTGCATTATCAATATAAGACATGCTGGTTGAATGAATCTGTTTGTGTTTTGAAGTTTTGTTTGCTTATTTATCCAAATCGGATTTATGTCAGTCAAAATAGATCCTTCAGGGCTAATATACATTAAACAACAGACATTTGGAATCCATAGTCAAAATGGGGAAGAAAGGATGGCCCGTGGTGGTTAATGTGGTTGTTCATGGTGGTTTTAGTGTTGTTGGTTGTGGTGGGTGGTTATCGACGGTTGTTGAATGGTTGGGGTTGGTGGTGGAGCTGGTTGAAGTGTTGTTGGAGGTCAAAAGTGGTGGCAGATGGTGGTCGATGGTGGGGGTTGTTGGTGGATTGTGGTGGCAAGAATCATGGCAGGGGGTGGTGGGTGGGGGCAGAAGAAAGTGGCAGATCAGTGGCAAAAGGCTGATTCTGCTACTGTTTTGCACACCAGCAGAGAAACGTTGTCCCAGACAGCGTTTTAGGTTGAAAATAAGACGCTGTCTGAGACAGCGTTTTAGGTACAAGGAAGTTTGTACATAAAGCGCTGTCTGGGACAGCTTCTTTGGTATAACTGTTTTTGTTTTTTAAAAACATTTTTATAAATAAAAGGCAGTTAAAAAAATTTAAAAAAAAAGGTCAACAACAAAGACGCTGTCCCAGACAGCGTTTTTAGGTTGATTTTTTTAAAAAAAAAACCCAGGCATAAAACGCTGACCGAGACAGCGTTTTAGCCTGGAAGCTTAGTTTGGTAAATACTTTTGCCACGCAACCATTTTGGTTAATATTTGCCAAAATTGGCTCACTTTGGAAAAACGTCCTATTACAGACATGTTACGTGTAATGTAGAGTCTTTTATATAAAATAGACCTGTTAAATTGTACAACGGGTCTGTTAAAAGTGGTCCCTTTTCCACTTTTTGTAGTATTGCCCCCGAAAGGGAACGTTATTTTAGTACCCTCACTCCCGAACTCATTTCTGGTTTATGTAGACCAATTTAGGCATGGGTAAACTTACTATTCGTGCTAATTAATCCATGAACCCCACATGGAAGAAAGGCATGAACGAGGTTTATGAGTTTTCCTAAAACTCATTGGTGACTCCCTACTTGTTTCTTATAAAAAAGTGTGATGATAAAATCAATTCTAATTCAAGGTCCCCCAATCAGTCAGGAATTCAAATCCTAATACACCCTAACAAGTGTAAAGACCTAGGCTTCTAAAGGGCCATGGGCATCTAAGGAGAAGATCCCCTACGATGGGAACACCCTCCTTACAGTGGCGACTCCACTAGGGAATTAGAGGTTACATGATTAGCTCTTAGTTATGGTCCAAGGTTTCCAACACTAGGTTTCCTATGGGTTGTAACGGGAATTAACTTGGATAATCTCTAGTTAGAGAGCGAGACTTAAACGCATAATATCTTTCTTTCGCACAAAGTAAAAACCAAACAAGGAACATTGCATCATGCATAAGCATAGAACACTTTAACCATTGGGGATTGGCTCATTAATTAGGGGTCGCCAACACTAGGCTTCTATCCCGAAATCAATAACAATCATCCCACCCATATCACAAACAAAATGTTGGGAGGGCGATGCCATGAGTCAACACGTTGAACGATTGATTTGTGCGTCGTTTCTTAAGATATGGTATCTTTGGACACCCAAGCCTCTTTGACCTTAGAGAGGCATTACATGAATCTTGGCTTATGAGATGCTTTATGTGCTTATATGACTATATGCAACGTGTAAGGATAGTCTTCCTTTTTCTCTTTTTTAGTTTGGTCTAGGTTCCCAATTACGAAGTAGTCTCTTCGTAATTTTGAGTCATATTCAAAGGGTAACATACAAAAAAATTAAAAAAATGATGACAAAACAAAAAAGAAGAGAGTAGGTGGCGCGCGCAACTTAATAAGTTGCGCGACCCCTACCAGCGCAAGAGATTTGGTTACGCGCGCCTTCCGTGTGCAACTTAATCTCTTCCGCGCGCCCACTGTTACGAGAAGATTTGATTTCCCAAAAAACAAATTGACTTGTGCAAACAATATCTTCATTGAAGAATTGTATAAGCGTGATGTTATCCATTCGAATATATCTTGCGTCATTTTTTTCCCTTTCTTCTAAACAAGCGTATCAATTTACTTATCCTTTCGTACTACCTTTAGGGTCGGTTCTCAAGCCTGGGAACGAAGACTCTCGGGCTCTCGTATTCTACGTTTACCATCAAGTAATCCACCTCTTTCAAACCACCTTCCCTCGACAACTAGTCCTAGTCCAACAATAATGTCAACCATCGAACAACTCCAAGAAGAGATTGCTCGCTTGAGAGAAGAAAAGGCTCAAGAGGCCGAGGAAAGAAGAATTAAGAAACTTGAAAAAGCTTAAAAGAAAAATGCCGAGACTCTAGCCTTGCAACAAAAGATGGAACAATTATCCGTCAAAGAAAAGTCGTTGGAGAAGCTTGTTATTCGTTCCACCATGGGGAACAACTGAACAAGTACTTCGACGCAGAAAAGTTTGCTCCTCCGATCCCTCAGGACTTGCTTTACCAGAAAGTTTGTAGCTACGGACTTGTCAATATTAAAGGTGACCAATAATCCACAAATCCAATTAATGTGTTTTACTGGCACCATGGCATTAAAGGGAGTTAATCCTAAGCTTTATGCTTTGACTTTCCTTTTATCTTTAGACCCAATCGCGATAGAGTGGTACTATGGGTTAGATTCGAAATTCAAAACAACATGGGAAGATGTAGTTTCGGCTTTCATTACCCAATATGAGAGTAACGTAGAGTTCAAATCGACTCTACGTGAACTTGAAATGCTTAAGCAAGGCGATGATGAAGGTTTCCTTGCTTTCTATGGTAGATGGCGATAAAAGGCGGCCCCCCTTGCCTAAAGGCTACCTGAACTCGAGTTGGTACAAAAATTCATTGACAACTGTCATGAAAAGTACAACAAACATCTACGCGACCTTGGTTTAGACACTTTTCAAAAGTTCTACTCTGTGGCTACTA